CCCCTTGTTCCCTCCCTCCCGTGAGTTCCTTTTCCGTCCTCACCTTCCGTGTGTTCCGGGCCCCCCCGGGTGTCTCTCCCCAGTGACGCGGCACATCCGTCACCTCCTGGAAAGGACCAATCAGAAGAAACCCAAATTGCGAAAGAAACCCAAGCCCCAAATCGAGGAGCGCCATGGTAGGGACCCCCCCAAAAAAATCTACCAGCACCCCAAATCCAACACCCCCCCGGATCCATCCTGGGAATTCCCGGCACAACCCGCCAGTCCCTGCGGCAATCGGGATCCCCCGGAGCAATCTGGGATCAGTCGAAAATCTGGGATTCCCCGGGTCAATGTGGGGTCCCCCAGAACAATCTGGGATCAGCCGAAAATCTGGGATCCCCCGGGTCAATGTGGGGTCCCCCAGAACAATCTGGGATCAGCTGGAAATCTGGGATTCCCTGGATCAATGTGGGGTCCCCCAGAACAATCTGGGATCAGCCGAAAATCTGGGATTCCCCGGGTCAATGTGGGGTCCCCCAGAACAATCTGGGATCAGCCGAAAATCTGGGATTCCCTGGATCAATGTGGGATCCCCCGGAGCAATCTGGGATCAGCCGAAAATCTGGGATTCCCTGGATCAATGTAGGGTCCCCCAGAACAATCTGGGATCAGCCGAAAATCTGGGATTCCCTGGATCAATGTGGGATCCCCCGGAGCAATCTGGGATCAGCTGGAAATCTGGGATCCCTTGGATCAGTGTGGGATCCCCTGGATCAACGTGGGGTCCTCTGGTCAGTGTAGGGTCACCTGAAAATCTGGGAACCCCTGGATCAGTGTAGAGTCACCTGAAAATCTGGGAACCCCTGGATCAATGTGGGGTCACCCAGAACAATCTGGGATCACCTGAAAATCTGGGATCCCCCAGGTCAGTGTAGGGTCACCTGAAAATCTGGGATCCCCTAGATCAGTGTGGGGTCCTCCGGGTCAGTGTGGGATCACCCAGAGCAATCTGGGATCACCTGAAATCTGGGGTCCCCTGGATCAGTGTGGGATCCCCCAGAACAATCTGGGATCCCCCGGATCAGTGTGGGGTCACCCAAAAATCTGAGATCCCCTGGATCAGTGTGGAATCCCCCAGAAAAATCTGGGATCACCTAAAATCTGGGATCCCCCGGATCAATGTGGGATCCTCTAGATCAATGTGGATCCCCCAGAGCAATCTGAGATCACCCAAAAATCTGGGATCCTCTGGATCAGTGTGGGATCCCCTGGATCAATGTGGGATCCTCTGGATCAATGTGGGATCCCCCAAATCAATACCAACCCCCCCAGATCAATACGGGACCCCCCAAATCAGTCTGGGATCCCCTGGATCAATCCAGACCTCTGGGATTGATGCCAGACCCCCTGGATCAATCTGGGGACCCCCTGGATCAATCTGGGACACCCCCTGATCCATATGGATCCTCCGGATCAGTCACGGGACTCTTGGATCAATGTGGGACCCCCAGATCAATG